GGTAGTCTAGTAGGATATAAATGGAGAACAATAGCAGGCTATTGTTCGACGTGTAAGTAACACAATGGGAACCGAAACAACAGAAGACTATTGTTAACTGAAAAAGGGGAACAATGGAATGATGGGATCGTTGACTGTAGATGAGTCGAAAGTCAACAATCTAAAAATACAACGTAAGTAATCTTATCTCTAAAGGCACTTGGGAGATAAGATAGACGTGGCACGAACAATAAGAGAAAAATCGTAACAACTTCAAGTGACGAAGAGAGATGAATAGATGAAGCCTACACTGAGGCTAGACTTGAGATTAGACTTGAACTTGAAATTCGATTGGGAGTAACTTCCGTGTTTACAGGGAAAGTAGGTAGGGTTTATATACTACTGGAGACTCTGTATGCTCATGCGTACCATTGGCAATGAAAGAGAGTGATGAGTAATAAAGAAAAGAATTTTAGTAAGAAACGGGGGAATATTAGTCAGCTTGACTGTGCATGACTGTGCATGGCTATGCTTCTGAGTAAGCAAAGTGGAGCTCCTGAGTAATCAAGGGGAAGCTGAGTAAGGATGATGTAGTCATGCTGTGTGTGTGCTGACGAAGCAGATGAATAAGAGAGGGGGTGGCTGATAAAGCATGACAAAGGATGAGTGAGCGAATGATGAAGTGCTGAGTGAGCAGGGAATGATGGTGGATGACTAAGCAGGGCTGTGCTGCCATAATCATGATGATGTCATCAATGTCCCATTGGTGTCCCATGTGCGTCCTATGTCCCCTGTGTGCATGAACACTGCTGTCCCCTTGTACAGTTCTAGCTCCTCTGTGAATGTGCAATGACCGAGCACAAATCAAAGTGAAGGAGTAGAGCCGAAATTGAGGAAGGTGATTGGTGAAGGGGATTCATCCTGTCTCTGCTGAATGGAAGGTGTGGGAGAGTGTACAGGTGGAATTGAAGCAGGGAGTTCGTGTGAGTTGTCTGGCAGCCATGACGAAAGGAGGGAATATTGCAGCTGGCGAAATTTGGACAACTTGATGAGGGAGTGAGGGATGTAGACGGTGCAAGATGGAGGGAGGAATTCTCCATATGCTGAACGAAGAGGGACGACATGGAGGACAATATGTCTTTCATCAAGCTGTATGACTGACTTGATAGAGCCAAAATAGATGCGCGTTTCCATTGTGCTCTGGACGATGAGTTTTCGTCCTGTGTGGATAGGGAATGGTATGGCAGGGGAGAATGATGTGACGAGCCATGCTGGCATTGACTGGTTGTCAAGCGGCTGGCTGATGGCATGCGCATAACCATTTGATTGGGCACACTTGTGTATCCAGGAAGCGCTTGATGGCAATGACATATTGGTGCGATGGGAAATGAATGGTGATGGCAGGAGTGATGGCAAAGAAGTCAGATGGCAAATGAACGGCAAATGAAAAACATGTGTCAATGCTGGCATGGGTGCTTAAGGTTGCCACCTTCTGGTTTGAGCGAAGCGAAGATCCTTCTATTTTGAGCGAGAAGATCAGAATCACGGGATCTTGGCCGGGATGCCGCAATGTTGCAACATTGAACGCGTAACTTGTAAAATTCTTCTTCATCTACCATTGCTTGCCTCCAGTGCGAAGGATGACTCCACTGATCTTGTAGTCATCTTTCTGCACTCAATCGTGTCTTCTTTGTCATCATAGGTCCAGTGCAGTGCATGAAAATAACCTCCTTGTTCTCATCTTCTGCACTAGGCGTATGCTTGAGTCCATCTCTTCCGAGTCATCATCTGTAGTTCATGCTCACATCACCAACACTTTTGATGTGTGACACTGGTCTTTCGTCAGTCTTTTGTAAGTCTAACAACTAGGCAACCGAGACCAAAATTCAGTTGCCATTGGTTGCAGTCCAGTTCAGTTCATGGTTTTTCGTTGGTCTTAGGACTGGACTCTAAAACACTATTCGTACTAACCACACAGCCATGACAACAACAATGACACACCCATCATGATCCGTGCTACTCACAATGGATGCAACAAGGTAGGTCAATATATGACTTTTTTTATTAACAATGCATAGTGCAGCCATGATGACAACAGCCCAATGTATGTGACACAGCAACACACCTGTCTGTGCCACTCACAGCCAGTGCAACAAGGTAGGTCAGTGTTTAACTTTTTTATAAACAATGTATGCTCATTTGTCACATGCAGTCAGGACGATGACAGCCCAAAGTATGTGACACAGCAACACACCCATCCATGCCACTCACAGCCAGTGCAGCAAGGTAGGTAGGTCCATATTCAACTTTTTTTATTGACAATGCATACTCATGTGTCATATGCAGCCATGACGATGACAGCCTAATGTGTGCAATGCAGCAATACACCCATTTGTGCCACTCACAGCTGGTGCAGTAAGGTAGGTAAGTCTGTATTCAACTTTTTTTATTGATGATGCATGCTCATGTGTCATGTGCAGCTAGTGTTTTAAAGTCTGGTCCGGTCCAGTCTTTTTGCCTTTTTTGGCAGGACCGAGACCGAGACCGGTCTTTCAAAATCTCAAAGTCATCAGGACCGGACCGAACCGTCGAAAACCAGTTGGCGTCGGTTGCCGCGATTGATTGTGACCGGTTTGGACCAGTCTTTACTGGACCGGTCTATATTTGGTATTTTTTTTCTCTGTGGATTACTAACGCATCCGTGTCGCCACAACACGGCGCTCAAGCTTTCAAGTGCTCACCACACACCAGCAGCAATGACAAACGACACATCTCACACCACTTCATCTGACCCCCATTCAAATCCCTGTCAGTGCCACTACTCTCGACCGTATCATGAAGCCATGACAACGACAACAACCCAACACGCATGCCATGCAAGTCAATACTCTATCCATGCCATCCGCATAACTGCCATGTGCAGCCAAACTGCGTAGCCTGCAAACTCATGATGCTATTGTGGCCCGCCCTTCAAGTCTCTCTACTTCCTAACCAACACGCAATCATGCAGCCACGACAATGACAATGGCACGACAACATTCACCCATGACGCCATTGTGGCTCATCGGGCATCAAGTCTCTCATCCACCTATTGATTTTACTAATCACACAGCCACAACAACAACAACATTCACCTATGCACGCCATTGTGGCTCAGGCATCAAGTTTCTGATCTAACTACTTTTTTGCTAATCGCGCAGCCACGACAATGACAATTCGACGTTTTTTATTAACAATGCAAGCTCATGTGTCACGCGCATCCACAACGATGACAGCCCAGGCCCACCAGTGAGTCATTGCGACTCATCTTCAAGTCTCATTCAACCAATCTATACTCGCCATGCAGCCACAACAATGACGACGACAGCACGACAATGCCTGCCCATCAGCCTGCACACCAGTGAGTCATTGCGACTCATTGTTCAAGTCTCATTCAACTAATTTTTATACTTGCCGCACAGCCACAACAATGACGACAACAGCACGACGATGCCTGCCCATCATGCCTGCACACCAGTGACGTCGTTGCGACTCATTCTTCAAGTCATTTAACTAATTTTTAGACGTCTTTGCAGTTCATTTTTCAAGTTTCATTCAACTAATTTTTATGCTTGTCGCGCAGCCGCAACAACAACAACGACAGCACGACAATGTCCACCCATCACACCTACACACCAATGACGTCATTGCGACTCCTCATGCCTGCATACCAGTGACGTCTTTCAAGTTCTCTTCATGTTTCATTCAACTAATTTGTATGCTAGCCATGCAGCTGCGAAACAACAACAACAACAACATGATGATGATGTCCACTCATTATGCCTGCACACCAGTGATATTGTTTTGGCTCCTTCAGGTCTCATTCAACTAATTTTTATGCTAACCACGCAGCCGTGACGATGACGATGATGGCATGACAATGTCCACCGATCATGGTTACTCAAGCTGGACAAGGATGGCGTGGTCGATGTAGTTGTAGAGCTGTTGTAGTTTTTTGTGTCAGAACCCAGGCTCATACTACGTAGTACACAATGAGAATGGTCCTCAAGAAAACTGGTTACAACCGGTTTTTGTTCGGTCTTTGACATTGCTCAAGAGTGGGCAACCGAGACCGAAATTCAGTTGCCATTGGTTGCGGTCCAGTTCGGTCCTCGGTTTTTCGTCAGTCTCAGGACTGGACTTTAAAACACTATGTGCAGCCACAACAACAACAGCCTAATGTGTGCGATGTCGCAATATACCCATCCATGCCACTCACAGCCAGTGCAGCAAGGTAGGTAAGTCCATATTCAACTTTTTATATTAATGATGCATGCTCATGTGTCACATGCAGCCATGACAATGACAGCCCAATGTGTGCGACGCAGACAATACACCCATCACAGCTGGTGTAACAAGGTAGGTCAACAGTTGACCTTTTTTTATTGTCAATGCTTGCTTGTGTGTCACGCACAGCCATGACGACAATGGCCCAATGTGAGCTAATGTGTCATGTGTAGCTACCATGACAACGATGACAGCCCGACACATAACCACCATGCACAGCCACAACAATGCAGCCCAATGTACTCGCCTATACTACTCATAATATAGCTGATAATTAATGTAATACCATTGTATGAAGTGTAACTACAGTCCTGCGAAAGACCAGTTTCAACCAGTCTTTCATTGGTCCTTTGTAAGTCTACAAATCAGGCAACCGAGACCGAGACCAAAGGCAACTGAAGGCAACCAAGACTGAAATTTGGTTGTCGTCAGTTGTGGTCTGGTTTAGTCCTCGGTTTTTTGTCAGTCGCAGGACTGGATTTTAAAACACTATTTACACCCTCGTTTATCTGAGCATTTGTTGGCTGCTAGGATCACAAGCCTGAGTAACCTTTGCATCCCTGGCACCCCTATCTCCTTGCAAATGAATGTTAGAATTTTTTTGCAAGGGGGTAGGGGTGCCTGGGATGCAGAGGTTGATCAGGCTTGTGATCCTAGCAGCTAACAAATGCTTAGATAAACAAGGATGTAAAATATGACCAGAGCCAGGATTGAACCAGCAACCTGCTAGGTTTATACCAGGTGCTCTAACCACTGGGCTATATGGTCAAGGTACTAGTGTTACTACTGGGGGATTAAGTCCAGTCTATATGAGGTCTTACTGGCAAGTCCACAAATTTTTGTAGTTGACTCATAACCCCACATCCAACCGCATCCACGTGCACGTGATTACATATTTGATATTTACATCATCTGAAGTGCAAAACTCCCGCAATCCAGATCTTGAATCACCATTGTTCAACCCTCCTCCTCGCTCATCTGAAATCATGAGTGCTGCATTCCGCATCTCATCCACCTTGTGGGACAAGATTCACCATTTTGCATCCTTTCCTCAGACTGGGGGTGAGTTATCTATTCTGTTCTCTCCTTTGTTCCCGTCTTTTGCACCCGTCCCTGTCCATTGTGGTCGGTTTTCTCGGTTTTCTTTTGTCTGGTGGTGGTGGGCTCTGTACACCTTGCCACCCTCAGTTTTGACCTACGTTTAGCTCGATAGAGGTGATTGCTCGTCGTCGGGCTTCATCACACAGAGCCTGTAATGCGGTTTACGCTTCACAGCCCTTGTCTACCCTGATTCCGCGGTGCTTCGTGGAGTTCGGACCATTTGGTTAGCGGCTTTTGGGCCGCTAGGCCATCTAGGGCTATTTCTGCGTATTATGTACCACTTCGCCCCTCGTGCTCTCCTCTTCGACGGGACGACTTTCCCCTGCACATCTACTTGGTCGTGTGGTCTTTCTTGTACTGAACAATACCTCACGCATATAGTGTCCCTACAACAAATGGTTCTATTCGGTCAACATCCAAGTCAAGGAACCCTTCTGAAGGCGAGCCAGTTCTTGGCCGGTGAGTTGCGCGTTCCATTCGCTTTGGCGTCTCTTGCATGTTGTGGGAGAAAATATTGACTGACAACGCTTAAATGAACCCCACAATGCAAAATAGAGGAACTCCCGGTTCGGCTTGCCCACCGTGTTAAAGAGCTCGACGAGCTTCCGCACAATCTGAGTGACATGCAGTCTATACGCAAAGTCAAGAACTGGTATGCGCAGAGTTTCGAGGTGAGATTCCTCGAATACGATTCTTCGTTACTTACTTTACTGCTTCCGGACCTACTTCCATACTTCTCTCTGCATGAGTGATTACTAACGCCATCCTCTTGCGATCGCAGGAATTAATAAACTTTCCACCACTCTCCCTATCTCCGACGGCGCGCCAATCCCTTATCGCACACTCAGACAAAGAAAACGTGAACATTTATCTACCCAAGAGTGTTCCCAATCCGTCGCTTGTCACCTCTTACCTGGATGGGGATGGCGTTGCGAGAGGGTTGGCGTATGGTGAGAAGGAGGGGGTTGTGTATGGGGCGAAGGCCGGGGGTGTGACGCCAAAGGGGAATGGAAATGGAAGCGGGAATGGCAATGGCAACAGCGTATGTGGAGTTCGGAATGGAAACGTTAAACTCCGGGTATCGGTCGAACGAAGGTACGTGTCCTCCGTTCCTCCGTTCTCCTTCCTCATCCACTTTTCGTCCCCTTCCACTGCACAGATACTACGCCCAAACTCCATCCCACGTCTACCCACCCGAAGTCCATGATTACAATGCCCGATTCACCAAAACCCTCGACGCCATCAAGCGGCGACATGATCCCACCGTCACAACGGTTGCGCAGGGAGTTTTGGAGTGGCAGAGGGCGAAGGGGATTAAAGCTGGAACGGGGTTGGGGCCTAGTCATGGATATGGATATGGGAGTGGTGAGGTACAAGCATGGTTGGATAGGTTTTATATGTCGAGGATTGGGATACGGTTTTTGATCGGACAACGTGAGCGGGTTGTTTTGACTTTCGTCGTTTTTATGGCGAGGACTGATTTGTGGTGTTTGACTGGGATCCCATCTTCCCATTTTGTGGGTTTACTAGACGTAGCGTTGAACACACAACAACCGCACAAAGATTATGTAGGGATTATCTGTACACAAGCCGTAAGGTTTTCCTCTTCGTACTTTGTCACCTCACTAACCCTTGACTAACCCTTTCGTCTCATCTACACTCCCCATGTCCAACAGAACATCCACGATATCCTCCAAGAAGCCATAGAAAATGCCCGATTCGTCTGCGAAGAACACTACGCAATGTTCCGGGGTCCACCCGTCCAACTCATCTGTCCCCCCGATCTCACGTTTGCATATGTGCCCGGGCATTTATCGCATATCGTTTTTGAGCTTCTCAAGAACTCGTTGAGGGCTGTGGTGGAGAGATTTGGGGCTGATTATGAGGATCGAGTCGTCAAGGACTCCGGTGTTTGGGGAGGAGCAAGCGCGGGCGGGAATGGCGGCGGCGGATACCCACCGATTAAAGTTATTGTTGTGGAAGGCAGTGAAGATATTACGATCAAGATTTCTGATGAGGGAGGTGGCATACCGAGGAGTGCTATCCCGCTTATTTGGACGTATATGTATACGACGATGGCGGGGCAGAGTATTGATCAGAATTTTCAGGTGGGTCTTTGTGTGCTCCAGTTTGTCGCCGCTGTCTTTATCACTCGCCGCTGCCGCCTCGTCAGCGGTGAATTCGCGATTCCTCTTCATTCTCCTCGCCTTCCTTTCTTCTCAATTTGCTTTACTCCGTCTTTTGTGGGATTGAATGCTGATTGGCATTTTCCCTATTAGGCGGGTGATTTCCAAGCGCCGATGGCAGGTTTTGGGTATGGGTTACCGCTTTCGAGATTGGTAAGTCGTAGCATTTGCTTTTACGCCTATTCTTACTCACAATCGCTTTCCCTCGTTCCTTTTTCTACGCCTACTCGCCTCGCACAGTATGCCCGATACTTTGGCGGTGACCTCCGTCTCATATCTATGGACGGGTTTGGGACGGACGTATATATTCATCTGAACAAGCTCTCAAGTAGTCGGGAGCCGTTGCTCTAATTATGAGCGTTTGTATACTCGGGAACTGCCGCCACGGCGCGGCAGAAACCTTGCTTGTAGTCTGACAGGGGGACGAAAGGAGAAGAGCGTGTATTTCGTCACAACGATAATTATAATTACATAGTAGAAGTTCATGATGATGTTGGCATAGGGAAATTAGGAAAGGACAAGTTTTCTCAATAGCATACTTCAGTAAGAACGGACTAGCATGGTTTTTTACGCTTCATAACAAGATGACTGCAACAACGTAAGGGACCCAGAATGACAAGACGACCGCAACAATGTGAGGGGCCCACAAGAGTGGGCACCCATCAACGACGACAAGACGACTGCAACAACGTGAGGGGCTCATAAGAGTGCGCACTCATCAACGAGGACAAGACGACTGCAATAACATGAGGGGCCCACAAGAGTGGGCACCTATCAACGACGACAACATGACTGCAACAACGTGGACCCAGAATGACAAGAGGACTGCAACACCGTGAGGGGCCCACAAGAGTGGGCTCCCATCAACGATGACAAGCCGACTGCAGCAACGTGAGGGGCCCACAAGAGTGAGCACCCATCAACGACGACAAGCCGACTGCAACAGCATGAAGGGCCCACAACCCATCGACGACGACAAGACGACTGAGACAACACGAGGGGCCCACAAGAGTGGGCACCCATCAAGGATGACAAGCCGACTGCAGCAACGTGAGGGGCCCACAAGATGGGCACCCATCAACGACGACAAGTCGACCGCAACAATGTGAGGGGCCCACAAGAGTGAGCACCCATCAACGACGAGAAGTGCGATGGCGTGAGGGGCCCAGAACGACGACAAGCCGAGTGCGATAGCGTGAGGGGCCCACTCTTATGGGCCCCCACAATCAATGATGAGAAGACGACAGGGGACACCCATCAACAACGACAAACGGACTGCGAGGACGTGAGCACCCATCTATGATGACAAGCCGCCTGCAACAACCCATCAACGACGACAAGCTGACTGCGAGGACGTGAAGGAGTTACAGCTAAATTCAAAACGTTAGACCGCTTTTCGCAGTGTTCGACTTGGGTTTTGGTTTACACTTGTTTACTGTGCAAATAAAACTTTCCCTAATTGAGATCATTGGCCTTGGTGCCCAACTACCAATGCGATACGGAAACCGTCGTCACATACCCCATGCAGCTAAAGAGCAGATAGTTGTGATGTCGACCCATACGAGGCCCAGCAAGATCGCTAGCATCACAGGGATAAGTACACAGACAATTCGTTGGACCATAGAACTTCGGTGGAAGACAGGTTCAGTGCAAAGCACATCAGCGCAGCGAGGAAACGCAAGTTGAATGCCCTTGATGCTGCAGTATGGTCAACAACTATCTTGCATACTTCAAATCTAACACTACTATCTTTTGTATTCCAGTTTCTCGAGGGCTGCATCGAACGAACACCAGACATCTACCTATCGGAATTGTGGCAGGAACTTAATGAAGCGTGTGGGATTGATGTCTCCGAAGTAACAATTGCACAGACACTGTGCCATAGGGGTTTCTCAAGAAGAGAAGTATGTTTTGTGTTGTGACTGAAGCCTTCAGTATCACTAATTAATTGGCTATTAAGGTGAGCTGGATCGCCATAGAGTGCAGCGAGGATCGTCGCAACTCCTTTCACGCCTACGTTGGTGAGCACTTTCGTGCAGACCAGCTCATCTTCGTCAACGAATCAGCCTGTAACCGGAACACTGTCAAACACACCATGGCATGGGCACCAATTGGCTGGCGAGCTCATCGCCGCGACTTTTTTGCATGCAGTAAACGAGGGGTGCTCTTTTTTGATAAATATCATCATATTGAGAGGTTTTCTAGTTATTCTATCCTTCCTGCCATCTCCCTTTGTGCTTCACCTGGACGAAATTCAGTACTAGTCATGGATAATGCGAGTATTCATCATTTGGTAGTTAGGCACGAAGGTGATGAACACACCCGATGATCTCAATTAGGGAAAGTTTTATTTGCACAGTAAACAAGTGTAAACCAAAACCCAAGTCGAACACTGCGAAAAAAGCGGTCTAACGTTTTGAATTTAGCTGTAAGCTGTGGGAAGAAATGTCCAACAATGGAGAATCACGTGAACAACGAAAG